GTAAAACACTACAAAGAACCAAAAAAAAGCAAAAGAAATACCTCGGAGAAACATGCACAGTGGCATGCATAAAAACCGCATTCACACATGTAACGTTTGTGGAATAATCACCAGTCAAATCACCGGGACATCGAAATCAAGCCACCGAGAAAATTGAAAAAACCGTCTTGTGCAAGTGGCACAATGTGCAAAAACGACAAAAAATTGTCGAAAAATAACACGCATGCATTTTATCAGTGATTAAAAAGTTATAAACCTTTCCCGAAAATTCGCTAAGAAGTACGGCCGGCTTACGGAAGAACAAAATCTGGAGATGCTGATGCTTTACATGCCAGTGAAATGGCAAAATGACTAAAGCCTCACCAGATGCTTTTGTTTCGTTGAGCTGGCAACCATTTCAGAAGACAAAACAAACGTGAGGATCGCCGCCAGCAGGTAAAGCGACAGGGACGGTTACTAGCTGCATAAATGGAAAACCAGATTTTGAATTGCGGTTGATCGAAAAAGACAAAATTAAAGTTTTAAAAAGAAAATAAAATCTATTCCCATTTTAAAATTCCAACTCAAATTTTCGAAGCTCTAGGCCAGAAATTAAGAAATGAAACTTCTTGAAATTTTGCAATTTGCAGACTACAGGAAACTAAAAAAATTTTAGTGCATCTAGAATCTTTACAAGAACATAAAAATACATGGGACCACATTCATCATTATGAAGAGAAGCTTTAGAGGAGTTCTCATGGGCAGTGAAGAACACGTATGAGGTGATACAAACAATAAATAATAAAAAACCAACGACATGCCCAGGAAAATGTGAGGAGTAGTCAAGCGATTTTCTCAAATGTTCACTCACTCACAATTAAACCTAAAATGAAGGCGGTAAATTGCAAATGCCTCATAAGTGCTCCGAAGTGAAAAAAATGTACTTTTAGCTTTAGAACGTGTGAAATACGCCTTCAAAGAGGAAATCGTCTCATATTCCCTCTCTATGAGAGGCGGAGGCGAACGGACAGAAGCAACCCCGATGAACACTGCCAATCAACACTGACCGCGTGCTACTTCCATTCCAGCAGTGCAGCAGCCAGTTCCCCCAAGAATCACTTATAAATCACTGCAGGCATATGCAAGGAAGTAAAAACCTACATTTACAGGCTTGCCCGCGAATGAATAAGGAAGAATTTTTTCTTTGCCTTTGAAGGAAGAAAAAAAAGAGAAATAAGAGCTGTCCTGGGCATGCTGCTAATGACACAAACAGAATTTCAGAAAAACTGATGAGATCCACTCAGATGTGAAGAATGTTTCGGCCACCTAACGGACGAGGACATTCGCCTGCTGCTGTTGCTGTTGCTGCTGCGGCGGCGGCGGCTGCTGCTGCTGTTGTTGCTGATTATCGATGCCGCCACCACCTATGCCGCCGACATTAGCATTACTACGTCCAGGACCACTATTTTCTAACTGTCGGATTGCTTCCAAAATGGTGTAGAAGTTCGGATTCAAATTGGAACAAGTGCTTATATCCAGAGAATTCAGGAGGAAGGGCGTTGGTTGTGAAAGTAACTCAGCGACCATCTGTGGCGATGGCAAGGAATGCGCTTGCGGATGCGGTCGCTTGATACCATCCAGACGAGCTTCGCTGCTCTGATGATGAGCTGCAATGAGATTACCCGTCAGGAGACCCAAATCGAGGCACGTGCCACCACTGCTGCTACTGCTGCTGCTACTGCTGCCGCTGCTGCTGCTACTCGTCTGCTGCTGCTGACCAGCTGCACTTACTTGTGCACTGCATAGCAAACTATCAATCAAAAGTGCCGGCGGCAAAAGCCCTGAAAAAAAAGAAGCAAAAGACATGGCACACTTTGCAAAAGTAGAGTTTTTTCAGACCACCAAAAAATTAGTATAGATAAGCAGTAGTAAAGTCCGCATTTCTTGATAAAGTATGGGTGTATGCAGGATTCTCCACGACAACTTCTCTAGCCTACGATGCTCATAAAAAGCACACACATTTCAAATTCCCAACTTCTGCACTCTGGAATTACAGGAACAATGTATGCTGATAGATTGGCAGTTAGAATCAATAGTGTCCGTCTGATGTCCAGCTGGAAGGATGAAAACT